ATCCTGCATAGGATATGTAGCATTCAGTTTTGAACATTTCCTTGTGAAAATCTATAAAACTACTATATCTACAATGCAAAACCATTTTTCCTTTGAAAAACATGCACAGACCGTTTCAAAAAAAAAAAATTCTTTTCTTCCAATCTTGATCCACTTAGGAATCTGCCTTAATACACTTTAAGTAAATAATAAATAGAACTTAGAAACACATGAACTAATGAGAGGGAAAAAAATTAATACGGTAGAGAAAAATTTCAGAAACTGGAAGAAAAACGTAAACAACTGGAAGAAAACTGATTCTCTAAAATTTTCGAAATGGAATTCGATTTAAGTTTGTTGGAAAAAATTAAAGAATTAAAGTAAATCAGACCAAATCGAAGGCCCGTATTTACACGGTTTCCTTAAATCGAATTCGCTGCCTCACCGAGGTGTACGAGGTTTTGATTGGTGTTCAATTTCCAGGATACAATCGGTTGTCGGTTCACGCTGCACTACATTAACCGCCTACGAACTAGCCGTATCTATCTCTCAAAGAATTTAGTAAAGGAAGAACATAACAAAAAAACAGAGGTTGCTAAAATGAAAGATGAGGAAACGGGTTTTATTTTTTTTCTATGTTGTGTTTGCTGTTTGAATCACATGTGTTTGTTCCAACCAAGAGATCCTCTATTTTATACACATAGATGAGGAGTGTGGTCATTAAGACATTGAAGACTGATTCTGAAACTGGAGAGGAAATGCTAGGAACTGAAGAGGAAATGCTAGGAACAGCTGAAACTTATTTCCATTCAGTTTCTGAAACAGATTTTCATTCGTTTTCTCATTCATTTTCCAACAGTGGCAAGAGATTTGTAACCGGATTTTGGTGATCAATAATTACTTAAGGCACGTTTCGGAGGTTATTATATTTCCATCACGATAACATAAAATTGTTATTAATATATTTCATAAGATTTTCAAGTATTATTAATTTTATTATTTACAAATTTCATAGAGTTCACGGCTTGTGGTCAATTAAATTTAAGATCAATAAAGCTTACAAACTTCTCTTATTTTTTAGTGATTTGAACTACTCAATCACGGTTCGTACTAGTACACCATTTTACCCCCATTGAGTTTGAAGTGCAGACGATTATCAAACNTTGATTTTCATTCAATATTCCAACAATCCCCCACATGAATGAAAATTTGGAAACAATGACGAGAGTAAAACGAATCAATCCTGCATAGGATATGTAGCATTCCGTTTTGAACATTTCCTTGTGAAAATCTATAAAACTACTATATCTACAATGCAAAACCATTTTTCCTTTGAAAAACATGCACAGACCGTTTAAAAAAAAAAAAAAAATTCTTTTCTTCCAATCTTGATCCACTTAGGAATCTGCCTTAATACACTTTAAGTAAATAATAACTAGAACTTAGAAACACATAAACTAATGAGAGGGAAAAAAAATTAATACGGTAGAGAAAAATTTCAGAAACTGGAAGAAAAACGTAAACAATTGGAAGAAAACTGATTCTCTAAAATTTTCGAAATGGAATTCGATTTAAGTTTGTTGGAAAAAATTAAAGAATCAAAGTAAATCAGACCAAACCGAAGGCCCGTGTTTACACGGTTTCCTTAAATCGAATTCGCTGCCTCACCGGGGTGTACGGGATTTTGATTAGTGTTCAATTTTCAGGATACAATCGATTGCGGTTCACGCTGCACTACATTAACCACCTACGAACTAGTCGTATCTATCTCTTAAAGAATTTAGCAAAGGAAGAACATAACAAAAAAACAGAGGTTGCTAAAATGAAAGATGAGGAAACGGGTTTTATTTTTTTTCTATGTTGTGTTTGCTGATTGAATCACTTGTGTTTGTTCCAACCAAGAGATCCTCTATTTATACACATAGATGAGGAGTGTGATCATTAAGACATTGAAGACTGATTCTGAAACTGAAGAGGAAATGCTAGGAGCTGAAGAGGAAATGCTAGGAACAGCTGAAACGTTGAAACTTATTTCCATTCAGTTTCTGAAACAGATTTTCATTCGTTTTCTCATTCATTTTCCAATAGTGGCAAGAGATTTGTAATCGGATTTTGGTGATCAATAATTACTTAAGGCATGTTTCGGAGGTTATTATATTTCCATCACGATAAAATAAAATTGTTATTAATATATTTCATAAGATTTTCAAGTATTATTAATTTTATTATTTACAAATTTCATAGAGTTCACGGCTTGTGATCACTTAAATTTAAGATCAATAAAGCTTACAAACTTCTCTTATTTTTTAGTGATTTGAACTACTCAATCACGGTTCGTACTAGTACACCATTTTACCCCCATTGAATTTGAAGTGCAGACGATTATCAAACATTGCTTAGCAATGATGTCTAGATGTGCATATAATATAGTGGGCATGGAGGTGACAAGAGATTTGTAATCGAATTTTGGTGATCAATAATTACTTAGGTCATGTTTGGGAGATTTATAATCGATTTTATTTTATTTATTTATTTTTTTTTAGTGATTTGAACCCCTAAATCGTACTAGCGCACCATTTTACCCCCTCTAGTTTTGAATTTACACTCGATGTGCAAACCCAGAATAGCCAACACTATTTGAAACTTGAAAGGCTCAACGAGGATGAACCAACGGCTACTTAAACTCAAGAATTCTTGATTCGTCTTCGTAACTTTGCCTTCTTCTTCGAGAAGAACTTCACAGTGGTAATATAACCAATCAGCGAAAGTCGGAAAGAGGCGGCGAACAGAAATGGGGGTGAAGAACCTTTGGGACATTTTGGAATCTTGCAAGAAAACTCTACCACTTCACCATCTCCAGTAAGTTAATTCCGTACTTAAAAACCCATACAATTTTATGCATGGAAATTATATTTGATTTTGATTTTTAATTTTGGTTTAATTATTGTCTATTAGGAACAAGAGGGTTTGCGTTGATTTGTCGTGTTGGATGGTTCAACTTCATTGTGTGAATAAATCCCACTGTGCAACGAAAGACAAGCTTTATTTGAAGGGTCTGTTCCACCGCCTTAGAGCCCTCATTGCTTTGAATTGCAGACTCATCTTCGTCGCAGGTACTATTAACTCCCCATACTTCAATTTTCATTCTACAATAATATATTCTGTGTTTTGCATATTATTCCACTTCTAGTTTAACTCACAATTGATAAATATTCGAAATTGCACTACAATATACTGTAAACGGAAATGTGTTTCACACTCTTGATTAATCACAAATCTGATCAGCAAAATTGTGTGGGATACTTCTCATAATTGAAGGAGGTCCAGGAGGAGCGAAGTGAGAAATTGCATATAAGGGAAACTAGTTATATTTCCCTTGCCACCTACTTTTCTCTTCAAAAAAAGGATGTAATTATATTTAATAAGAAGGAAGGCCATTTCTATATTCAAGAAAATTCCCAATCTCATCCAGGATGAGTGGACTAAGAATTATCTCTTTACATTCTGACCTTGAATATTCCTTTGCCAACCTGGAACTTTCGAATAATTCTCAAATTTAGGAATCAAGATTTGATTTTGAACCTCTTGTCTAATGACAAGTAGTTGGAATTCGATAAAAGTATATAGTTTTCTACTTTTCTAGCTTGTCTTCACATACATCAATATGTAAAGTTGGTGACTTTGACCTACATTTTGCAACATTTCATGCCTAGTTAACACATTCCAACATAAGAATCATGGACTGTCACGTATTTATGGACATTGTTACAGGAAATCATGACAAGACACAGAGGGATACACTAAAATAGATATATGATAGCTTTTTTGCCCATATTTTTCAGAGGAACGCTTTGCATACCTTATCATTGTTGGAGCTCAATTATGCCTTAACAACAGTAGTATTATAACATGTCTTGAAGTCATTTTCTAGCAAATAATTTCTAACGTCTAGGCAACTTTATAGAAACTCCTTGCTATGTATGGATATTTTCTTTATGTCTTCTGTCTAGTGGATAGCTCTGCAAGTCTCCATTCCAATGACTTTGTATTGTGGTATGTGGTGTGAGGAGGCTGTGCTCATTTTTAGTTACTTCAATTTGAAGCATGTTGACAGTCTTGTAAATATTAACTATACACAATCAATGGAATTTATTATACTGAGTTTGAGTTCCACGTTTCCTGCATTTGACATTTCCTATTATTCTTTTATAGGTTCACAGATATTAGAAATGAATCTAATGACTATTTAGTACCGAAAGAAATGAGTTAAATAATAGTCATATGTTTCCACTCACATTTTCATATTTCAATAACAGCAAAGTATCCTCACATTGAGTGAGTTTTATTCTTCAGTTCTATGTGAATTTGGAAATCTTTCATATGCTTGCTCATTGAACTTTATCATCTAAAGATTTTGATAATTATAGATTGAACTCACGGACTTCATATGGTTTGTGCAGATGGCTCAATTCCTGCTATAAAGTTATCAACATATAGGCATCGTTTAAATCCAGGAAATGAGGTAGGACTTTGGTAGGTCGATATTCAGATGTGCGTGTTCAAAACATCCCATTTTATATCAGGTTAAACATTTCTTACATAATTTATGGTCGTTTATGATGCAGGCTACTTTAGATGATACGAATCCTCAGAAAGTAGCATCAGTTAGAAGAAATATGGGATCTGAGTTTTCGTGCATGATAAAAGAAGCCAAAGTTTTAGGCATGGCGCTTGGGATTCCTTGCTTGGATGGGTAACTTTTTTATGGGTGGTGAATTTTATTAATCATTTGTTAACAATAAAATAATGATTTATTGGACTCACTAGTTTGCTCCATCTACTTTCAAATTATTAAAAGTCTAGAAGTATTGCTTGAACCCATTATATCCCAACTAAGTACTCCAATACCAAATACATGACATCCAACTAGGAAAGGAGAGATAATTAAGGGTAGGTGTGGGAAGTGTTTATAAATGCTTTAAATTATAAAGAGAAAAAAATGAGCAGTGAATAAGTGAGTGGTACTTGTGGATCCCTCGAAATACGTGGATAAAAAGTGTTTATAACATGAGCCAAACATAGTCTAAGTAGAATGTATTTGCCTCACCAACTTTGGTTGGAGTGTGTGAATTTTTTTTTTAGGCAAATTCCTCGCAAAAATGCCTCTCAAAAAGTTTTTTTTTTTAAATGAATCGTATTGCATTAACTATTAACAAAATAGATTCTATGAGTGACAAACAATGTTCTGCAAAATCCATAATTATACGTGTAGGTTGAGAGAGAGAGAGAGAGAGAGAGAGGGGTTATGTAGTTTTTTTCTTTAAAAGAAAAATAGAATTCTGACTTTTAGGCACCTTCTCGTTACTTGTATATGAGTCTTTTGATCTTTAGGTTAGTTGATCTAAGAGTCCTATTTATATGAATATTATGAAAATTCATAAACTATGACTTAAACTATCAATTTAAATTTAACTAAACTGACAATCGAAACAAAATTCAATATAGTCACCACACTTGTTACCAATCACTCCAAGATGTTGATTACCATGATCTTATTCAATTAAAGATCTAGATATATCAATGACACTTGGATGCAAGTGTTTGGTTGTTATGAACTATCAGCCAATACCCATACCTAACATCTTCACTCGTGTATTCAAGTGGGTGTACGTGCCTCAAATGGACAAATATCCATACAGTGCATTTACCATTTCCAAATGTTGGACAATAACTCAAATACCTACCTTATATCCTTTTGTTTGAAATCATGATTTTTCTATTCATTATAAACTTCCAACATTAAATAAAATTTTCAATTTCATATGGCCCCCCAAATATACAGGATTGAGGAGGCTGAAGCTCAATGTGCATTGCTTAACTCAGAATCATTATGTGTAAGTGGAAGCTCTTATGTCCTCATATTCTGGAATTATCTGAGAAAACTTTTTGGCATTTGACCCATTGCTGTTTTTATCATGAGGATTATTCATTATATATTGTTGGATTTTACTATCAACAGTATTATAATCCCAAGCCTCTTATTGTTATAATTATTATGATATCAGGATGGATGCTTTACTTCAGATTCCGATGCCTTCTTGTTTGGTGCAAGAACAGTGTATAGAGATATTTGTCTTGGTGAGTTATCAAGTTTTTCTGCTTTCCTGTCATATATTATCATTTCAACATACTTATGCTGCTGTATTTTTAACTTTTAGGAGATGGCGGCTATGTTGTTTGTTACGAAATGGATGATATTGAGAGAAAACTAGGGTTTGGAAGGAATTCCTTGGTAATTTTTCAAGACTGATATCTATCATGAATACCACTTTACACTTTTAAGACTTTTATGTGAGCCATTTTAGTATTATTTATTTTTTCCATAATAGGAATTAAAAGTGAACTAGGTATGGTCAATAAATCCTACAAAAGGTAAGATCGAAACCTTAGCAGGTTAGTGACTTGGGTTCTGAGTCTCATGTGGGGTGGGAAGGGTGAAATTCAGAGAAAAAGAGTAAGATCCTACAAGTGCTTCAATCTAAGGTGTCGTTATTACATCTAGTTCTTGATTTGTCGTAAGTCAGAGTGACTGGCAATTCTAACCCTTTCATGCAATTGTTAGGGAAATCCTTACCAATCAACTTTCCAGTTAGAATCATAGCGTTTTGATCTAGGGACCATAAGAGGGTATGATATTTGCTTTGGATATGCTATGATAACACTTCTGGAAAACTGTTGTTAAACTAGCTTCATGATATGTATCATGTAGCGTTTCACACCCAATCTGAAACTTGACATTTTCCTCTGCTTGCATTCAGTTTTCAGCTGTTATGCTAACACAAGAAATTTCTCGTAACAAGTTTTGTATCTTGGAACTTACTATATGCAGATTACTCTAGCCGTTCTTCTAGGCAGTGATTACTCTCAAGGAGTTCGTGGTTTTGGGCCTGTAAGATTTAGAAAATTTCTGATTGCCATATTGTAAAGCAGTACTTATTGTTAAGCCTTTCTGTAATTTGTGGTGAATGAACTTTTATGCTGCACCATCTTCTTGTTTATGATACAGGAATCAGCTTGTCAGATCGTGAAATCCATTGGCGACTCTGCCATTCTTCAGCGAATTGTATCAGAGGGATTTTCAATTTCAAAGAAGGCAATAGGTACTAAGAAACAGGGTCGCAACTGTGCAGGTCTTGAAAAGGATTCTGACGGTGAGTTAACCAATGCCGGTTCGTTGATCTTTCGACTTCCATGATTAAAGTCATTTTTAACATCTGCATTTTTGACTTAATATGTATTTGCTAATTTTAATTTTTTTTTGGTGCTCTTTGCAAGTCCTAATATGTCCAGATATCATTATTTGTCTGGAATTTTATTTTCAATCGTACCTCTATTGTAATTTTCACTCTCCTTAAACTACAATTCTTGACTGGGTTAGGGGAAATGATGAGAAAGAACAAAAATTGGCCCAGTAATGTTGTTGGATTCCAAACATTTTGGATGAAGTAACAACGTGATCTTCAGTATTCAACCTTGCTTCTTTCTTGTTCGTGGATAGCCATTAACATTATCCGTTACAACACTATTACCAATAGCTTACTTCCATGAATATGAGCATGATCTAATATTTCTTATGCATGCTAGGAAGAAGGATGTTAACTATTGCATCTTCACTTGATATTACTCTTTAATAGGAAATAAAAGTAATTTACAAAGGGACCATCTGTTCTTGCAAGTAATTGATGCATACTTGAAGCCAAAATGCCATTCAGCAGATTCAGATGCTGTGCATAGGTGAAGTCTACGGTTCAGAATTTTCATAATTTCTATTTTTGATAAAAAGCATTAGAATTTCACGGTTGATTAACAAGGATGGCAATACCTTTCTTCTTGCCTTTTTTGCCGTAGGGTTCATGCTTTATATCCATTCAGACGCAGCCAACTGCACCAGATATGTGCTCAATATTTTGACTGGCCTCCTGAAAAGACAGGTACTCTCTTTTTACAAGCTACACGCCCACACAGTTGGACGCCTGAATTTATATAATATATGTTGTGTGTGTATTTTCATCATCATCATCATTGTAGAGCAGGAACACAGATACCAAATTTTTATTTCGTTTTTATATTGAATATTCTTATTGAAGACACATCTTAGTTGGAGATTCTGTGGTGAGATATTAATAAAAAAATTGATGTGTAGACCAATAGAATTTTTATCTTCTTTTAAATTAAAGTCATGCTCAAGTATGAGATTTACAACATCCGTAGATTAGAAAAGCTATCAATAGCTCCTTGATGCCCCTATAACTGTTCGTCATTTGTGAGAGTTGGTATGTGTTTTGAGCCTTAGATGAGTACATCCTACCAAAGATAGCTGAAAGAAATTTGCGACGATTTGCTAATCTGCGTTCTACTTCATCAGAACTCGGAGTCCATCATGCATTAAATGAGGTAAAACTCCTTTTATGGCTATTACAATTCGTTTCTGGCTATCTGGTACTATTAGGGGTTTTTCTGCTTAACTTATGGAATTACTCAAATTGTGAAACACGTACATTTTTTCCATGTACAGCTTAAGCTCTGTCCAACAATGACATATTTAGTAGGGTGGATGTAATGTAATTGATACTAAAAAAATTAAAAAAGAAGTTAAAATCTCATCTCCGTAATACTGATAGCAAACATCCCCCAAACTCTCTGGTCTGCATTTTGTGCATATGGGCCCTTGTAAATGATTGCAATGAAGTAGAAAAACTTTGGTGCGCAGGCTGAGTTCACCAAGTTTATCACCCAGTTCCAGCTGCATAAAGATGCAGAGTTCAAATCTGCACGTTTGTGGCTGCATGCCATTTGCAGCATCTATAGCTGCATAATTTGTAGGATTGTAGATGCAAGGCAAGGGAGATGTCCTGCTGCTTTTTTTTTGAAGATAGAATACGAAGAAGAAAGAAAAAGGGCACCAAAGACTATTTTGCCTCTGGAGGAAGGCGAGCTGCTTAAAAAATTGATAACGATCTCCCTTTGACAATATAAGAGGATTTTGGAAACTGTTTTGTAAACTAAAATAAAAAACAAGTTTTCCAAATGGCTTTTCCTTCATTATTTCTGTTTTATTGTATAACAATAGAAAATCTGTTAATAAAATTGAACCATATTCCTTACTCTGCTTTCAGGAGACAACATTAATACAATAATTTCATTGAATTTCTGATTTAAATATGATGTATCATATTCCAAGGTTTTAATCAATTTCTAAAACATAACATGGTAATACAGATGCCAAACCACTCAATCCTAAAAATCTTAGATGTTTGGATCTAAGTTGAGTGGATGAGATATGATACACTGTTATATTACATTGTTTGAATTTTCTTACTGGCTAGAAATTTCCTGTTCGATGTTTGGATAAACTTAAAATCCAATTAAAATTGAAAATATAGTTGTTATTGAGTTTCACTCGTCTAATAAAAGTTAATAATAACGGCTAGTTTTTCAATTTTAATCCAATTTTAATATCTACTGAACACGTACAATATAAATTTTGTTTTAGCTTTTCACACTTAAAAAATTACTTTTTATGATCTTAATGTGGACTGATTTTGCTTTCTGAGTACAGGTGCCAGTGAAGTGTCCAATGTCTGGCATTATCAAGCAGAGAAAACATCAAGGAAGAGACTACTTTGAGGTTTCTTGGGAAGACATAGATGGGCTCAAACAATCCACTGTACCAGCTGATCTTGTGCAGAGGTATACTAGTAAGAGTATGGAAAAAAAACCTCACCGGCAAATTTATTTTTGTTGAGTATTTATTTGGTTCTCCTCTTTTCCTCAGTGCTTGCCCTGAAAGGATATTGGAATTCGAGCAAAGAAGAGCTCAAGGAAAGAAACCAAATTCACGTAGATCAAAGCCTAAGAAAGTAGAGACGAGGGCAGACATAAAGGAAATTAATCAGAAACTCCAAAAATTGTTGCTTGAAATCGACCAAAAAAACTGCCCCACGTATAATGCAGTTTCTTTAGGACGATCAGTACTAGAGGAGACCTTCACTAGTACCAAGTCAAAGAGTAACAGCAGAAGTGAAGGAAGAAACAATGGTAAAAGCTCCATATCGTGTTTCTACTCCACTGCTTCCAGTGATTCTACAACAGAAATTATTGATCTAACAAGTCCCGCACCACCAGTACGTGCTATTGGTGTTTCAAGTTGCCATGACATGAAGTGTATGGATGTAATTGAGTTGAGCGAGTCTGAGAATGATATGTCTCCTGAACACACAATAAAAGCGAGGGAGCTGAGATTGTTCATATCCAGTATTAGGGATGAAAGCTAGTTGATGAACTTTGGGATATGTATATATGATGATCATATATATTTGATCAAAAAGTATCTTATTTCGTTTTCCATTTTTTTTCCCTCACAAGCAAATCATCCTGTTAGCTTTTCCTTGTGGAATTCAGCCAAAATTTGGGACTGTTATAACTCATCTCCTTGATATTTTTAATAAAGAAAAAAATGTTGTTCCTCGGGGCGGATGTAGTATTCAACAAATGGATGGTGGTGCGAAGTATGTGGAGGTTGTGGTGGTTCACAGTGAACTTTGCAAACTTTGTGATGGAAGACTCTAATAGAGGT